GTATATATATATATATATATATATATATATATATATATAAAATCATATATCTATGTTTATTCAATAATTGTATTATAAAATATAATAATATTATAATATACATTTAATTTTCAGACAAATTTTAGTATTAGTAGAAAGTATAGCAAGTGGTCACAAACTTGTAAGAATTCGAGACAGAGTGGCTGATAAATTGGAAGAAGTATATTTTGATCCTTATGGTAAGTTTATTTTGAAAATTTATAATTATGAATTTATTTTATCATATTAGTTTCATGAAATTACATGTTTTAGTTCAAGCTAAAGTACTCTATCGAGAAATGAAGAAACTTAAAAGTTTATAAATGTTAATTTAATAGATAATTTCATATATATATATAAAATAATTTATTTAATAACGAAATTGTATAAATATTGTAATGAAATAATATTAAAATAATAAAAAATATAATTAATATATTAATTTGTTTGAATTAATTTTTAATAAAAATAAGATCCTTTGATAAGAATAAAAATAACATCTTTTACAGAATCAAGAAAGACAAGTAGATGTTATCGTAAATGGTTTTAATAGCGACGTATATCAGACATTTTGCCTGAATTACTTATCTAGTGTGCATATCGAAAAAAGTAAGAGAGATTGGAAGAGAAAAGGAAAATGGAGGACCTTGAAATCGAGATTGGGGTAGGTTTCCTTTGATCCTTAACAAGGAACGCAAAGTTGTATTATTTCCACCTGGATTTCAAACGGTTGAAATTCACGAGGCGTGAAACACGGTACTATTCTCTTTCTCTGTTTCACCCTTCTAAATTTTATTCTTCTTTCATTGTTCTTTTTTGTTCGTTACTATTTTTCGACAGTGTGGAAATATTGTGATATTACTTACTGATGTTGTTGAATTTAATTTTTTTTGACAAATTATTGTAGTTGATAAAACAATGGTTGTAGTCTTTATCTTTTATGATTGTACCTATGGTAACTCCTGACATCTACATTTTTTACCTTAAGCAATCTTGCTAAATTTTATCTTTATTTAAAAATTTTTCTATTTATCAAATATTTTTTTTAGCATGTAATATTTTTCTTCTTTAAAAATATTAAAATAAAATAATTTTTTCTGATATATAAATAATATTTTAAGAATGATCACTTTAAAATTTAAAGTTGATTTTATCAAATATTAGAAATATTTATTTGTATTTGTAATTTTTTGTAACATATATATATAATGTAAATCAATTAGCAATTAAAATATTCTATATTTTTCATTCTTATGAAAAAATAACAAATTATAGGATAAGAAAATTAATTTTCAAATTAAACGGAGAAAATCTCGAAACAAATAAACCTTCGTTAAGAAGCATATTTTTCTGGCACAATGAATTTCGAAGCGGTATGCAACAGCGAAATTGTTAAAACGTCTGTTGTTTATGCTTGACTCGGCAGAACAGCCGGTAAAGGAGGAAACAGTACGCAACAGAAAGCGAGTCGGAAAGATGGAGTGAAGCATGAGCAGAAAGAAGAAAGGGCGAGAAAAGCAAAACAGAAACGAAAAGAAAAAGGGAGAAAAAGAGAGAGAGAGAGAAAGAGAGAGAGAAAGAGGCTCGTCTGGGCCTTGGCGCGTTTCAGTTGCCTCGCGTTCGAGGGCGTTTTTCGCCCGTGAGTTGTTCTTTGCTTATTACAGTGTGTGCACTGGGCTCGAGCTCGCTAAAGTGGTTTGCTGCTAATTAACTGCGTTATTTTTACAACTCTCTTGCTCCCATCCACCTCCCACGTCTCTTTCCGCCCCCTTCCCTTTTTCCTTCCCCTAACTGTTCTCCCACATTTGCAATGGGGTTCAATAATTCTGTGGCCGCAACGCCCTCCTCTCTCTCTCTCTCTCTCACTCTTATTCTCTCATTTTGTTTTCACGTTTCTTATAATGCATTTTTTCATCTGTATGCTTCTGATTTTACTATGATGAAATATGATTATATTCGTTATCTATTGTTAAAAAAATTATTGGTATATTTAATATATTTGTTGAATATATTAATTAAAAACAAATTAAATAAATTTAATGTTACAGAATTAAAAAATCATATATTGCTTATTTTTGTGGTTTTACGGTTATATGAATGTGAATAGAAAGTACACGAGGATTTGGGAATGGTTCTTTCCTCGGACTTTTTTTGCTCACACTTATTACTACCTTAGTACTTGCGGCGGGTTAATTTTACCAGCATATTTTGTATGTTTATTTCGAGGATGCATTTGTAGGAAATTAACGAGAATATCGGAAGGTTTTTAAGTACTCTAGTTTGAAATGGTTTTCAAACGTGCAGCTACTTATCGTCATTTTGCAATATTATCAAAAAGCAAGTATCATTCACCGTTTAAAAAAGTGATTAAAAATGAATTAAAATGAAATACACTTACACTTACATTGATATTTTTTACAATTTCATTATTTTTTTTATTATTATCTGTGAATTTATTTTTTATTAAAAAATTTAATAAATTATATTAAATATAATATAGCAATGTCTAAAAAAAATAATAATTTCTGCATTATAAATTTATGAATTATAATAGCATTAATATAAAAATTTAGCCGAAAAGATTTTATTATTCTATAAACAAAAATAATCTTGAAAGGTATTTATTTTAAAATAAAATATTTTTTTTTATATAAAAACTATTCCATATATTGTTTAGAACATAATAAAAGTAAATAAAATAATATCGATGCTTTGATCATTACGTATGATAATAAAGTTGATATGTCATTTATAATCACAAGCACCAAGAAAACATTCGACCGTGTTTGAATCGAAATAATTTTAATTCCATAATATCGTGAACGAAACGACTATTGGTTACGATTGTCGGAGATGGTCGGAAGCAGAGAAGTCGAAGGTCGTTTGTATAGGTATCTCTCTGTCGACAGTCGTGGCACCCTTCTTTCCTCCGCCACGAAAAGGCCCTTGAATAAATTGAAAATGGCTGATATCGCCCTGCTCTTGGATAAGTGATACCTACATCACCTACACGCACATCGGTTACCACAGATTTCCATGGGTATTCTTTCATATATTCAAAACAGCTATTCAAAAGCGGATCCAAGTCTTTTCGTATAGATGATCAATTAAAATCATGTTAAAACCTATTAATCGCATATTTCGAAGGAAAAAAATGAAAGATTGAATAAGAGGGACAATATTAATCGGATTTAATATTAAAGAATAATTATTAATCGAAAGTTTATGAAAAATAAATTCAATTCAATTCACTTGCGTTGCTTAATGCTCTATGTTTGACGTTCTGATGGTTATATTTATTACATATAAATATAATATATAAATATATATATATATATATAAGTAACAATTTCAATAAATGAATATAATGAATATTTCATACAGAGTATAATTTTAATATAATTTATTCGATTAGTCATCATCTATATATATCTTGAAATCGAAACTAATTAGATATATATTTAGCTAGAATACTTTTTATGTTTAATATTATGAATCAGAAATATGAATATCAGCAGTGCTTCTATTAGGACAGATGGTCTATCTCATTATTCGGTGCAATCGAGCTCGTCGAAAATTTATGTACTCCCTCGTACTCCGCGATCGTAAAATCATTTCCAAAATTCACGATTTGCCCGATCGGGTAATTTTCAGGATGCACGCGTGTACTAAGCTCATTCACACGACCAAACATATACGTGTATGTAAACGATGACACACATATGCATACACGTACAAAAGTATTTAGCATCGAAAACGTTACGAGGCTAAACGCGAAACGCGAACTGACGTACGCTTTCGCGCGCACGCTCACGCAGTTACACACGCACGAAAAGAAGCATGTGCGAGGGCACATGAACGAGAAGGTGTATTGAATCGACGAGTATCATGCAGTTGACAGCTAGAGCTAATTGAATCTTGACTCTATCTATCTGTCGACTCGAGCTGAGACTCGACTGCCGGCGCCGCTCCGAATTGCATTTCCGTTCGACAGAATCGGTCGCGCTTGAGAATTCTATCTTCTCTCTTAATCTCTCTTATTTTTTTAATATAGAAATTCAATGATTTTGAAACTGTAAAAAATCATTCAAATGTTATTTTTCTTTTTTAATTTTTGTTTTAATCTTACTTATTGAACTTTTTAAATAGATAATACAGCTATTATATTTATATAAGTTTAGAAGACTTATCAATAAATAATTAATAAATAATCGTTTAAAGTTGTAAATTTGAGTTAATTGTACATAATTATTATCTAACAAAATTTAATAGTTTTAATTCTTTTATATTTTGTTTCAATATTTTAGAATAAAAATAATTATTCACATAAATTTTTTTTTTCTTATTAATATTTTCATTGATTCAAGTTGTTTTTCTTTTTCTTATTTATTGAAATAAAATATTGTAAAAAATTGTACAACTATTAATGATTCAAAATCTTTTTTATTAAAAAAGAAATTTTCTTTTCACCGTAGATAAAAGATTTCTGTGCATCAGGTCATTTAATTAATAACAGATCGATAAAAATTCTATAAAAATTTAATTAAAAAAAAGCAAAATATGGAACATTAAGACAGAACGTTCGTAGATCAAAAATATGCAAACATTTATTAATATATTTTTTATAACATTAATTGCAACTTTCTGTTATATTTTCGATAATTGATATTTTTATAATATATTTTTATAACTCAATATGTCAATTCGAAAAAAATTTAATCTTATCTTTTCTTTAAATAATTATGAAATAGATAAATGAATAGAATCCATATTACTTATTTACATACAATACAAACAAAATATATTTCTGAAAATATATGACGAAGTTAGATTGTAATTGTAACATAACATCTCGTTTAAAGAAACGATGTGGTAAACAACAAGAAGTTGAGGTTCGTAATACCGATAAAGGCACAAAACCTGGGAAAGGAGGATAGATAGGAAGGGGACTTTGTTCCCCGTCTAGGATTCTATAATCCGTACGATCTTTATCGTTAAATTCTGTACTCGTGGACCGATGCCTCGATTGCGCAATCAAGATGGCATCGAGAAAGGCATCTCTCGCCTTCGACTCAAACTACCAACAAGTATTTCAATATCCGCTCCAATATATTCCCATCGACCCTATAAACGTGTGTGCAGTTATATTGGATTCCCTTCCTCCTTCCTTCGATCTGCTTTCCTTATCGCTCTCACTTCTTCACTTTTTCCGCTCTCGCTTCCTTCCGTAGTACGTATATGTGCATGTGTGTTCGTGATCACAGACCAATTGGTTCTTCTCGTCGCCACGATCATACGCAATGTGGTGGCGTGTATATCTGTACATCTAAGGAAACCGCATTTAAACGCATTTGATAACCCTGTAAAAGATTCTTGATCTTAGCGGCTAGAGAATTGAATGGAACGATTGTTTTTTAGCAAGAAGAAACATGATACTAACAATTGTTATTATACTCTTTTTAATTTCTTTATTATTATTTTTATTATTATTAATTTCTTTACTCATTAGAACTAAGATTTTTAGATGGAAACGAGAGATTCATTATTTAAATGAAAGAATTTGAATGAGCTTGATAAAAATTGAAGAAAATTTTTATTTTATGTTTTCTGGGATATTTGGATTTCTTGGATAAAGTGTATCAATGCTCTTTTCTAGTGATCTTTATATTAAACAATAAATTAAATGATAATAGAATTATCTATTAAAATTTTTTTATTAGAAAAAGATATATAAAACAATAATCAAGTAATTTTTTAGATAATTTTGGAATAATTTTTTTATAACTTTGATTTAAATTTAAAATAATCTGTTGTGATCTTAAATAATTTTGAAAGAACATAAAAATAAAATAATGTTCATTACGTAATTTATATATTTTTTTATTCAATCTGAAGATATCTAGCAGAATTATATTCGATTAAAATAAAAACATCGGTTTAATATAATTCAAATATTCAAACGAACGCTTTTTTTTATTATAATGGGATAAAATTTAAACATAAAAAAATTCATATTCAAATTCATATTCATCTATCGCTTATATATATCTACTACATGATAAAAAGCGATCGGGATGATCACAAGAAATAATCTAGAAAATTCTTTTCAGATTAATTACTCAGTTTGAAGTTTTTAGATCATAAAGATATAGACCAGAAGATATGAAATAATTTACCGTGGAATTGTACGGTTCTGTTCACTACCACCTGGGTACACATCAAAATTGTGCATTTCCCCACCTTCCCATTACCTAGTTCTTTTCATCATTGCTACTGCTATCTCTGTCGTTTCTTTCATTCATCCTCTTTGTTACCATAATCTATATATGCGTACACAGATCGTCGCTTATTATACTAATATGTCCGTCGTGCGTTCATCGCAGTGCATCGCCATCAAAAGAGATTTTCTCATTCGAGTTTAATTGTTTGGCCCGATCCTGACCAAAGAAACGGAGTGATACGGTCGGGACTGGTTTTTCACCACGCTTCAAGCGCTGGTCCGCGATCAAACGGATCCCCTTTTTATCCGTGAATCTTTCTTTACGGTTCGCCGATTTTTTGGCCACTGAATTCTTCCCGGGTATTTAAATAAAACCACCGATGCTTCGTATAAATGCTCTAGTTAGATAGAAAATTCCTGGATCCCGGATAAAGAACTGTAAATAAAAGATAAATCTGTTAGTCTAACTTAATGAATATGAAACTTTTTGATGAACTTTTCTTGATTTTGGGAATTAATTATTGAAAATTAGGACTATTAATAAAATTAGAAATTTGCTCAAATTATTGCGATGCAAATAATTGTATACTTGATTTTTAAGATAATATAAGATAAGATAATAAACAATTGTTTGAAAATTGAATTTTAATAGATAAATAAAATAGTATAAATGTTTCAAGAAAAGGATAATATTTTTATAAATAAATAGATATCTTATCCAATTTTAAGAATAAAGGAAAAATAAAAAATTTCTTATCGAATTAGCATTTAATCTATATGAGAAAAGAATAAAAAAAAGGAAGAAAGAAAGTGGTAACGGATAATAGAAAGTAGTGCCCGAAGCGTGGCTTTGCACGATTTGTGGTTATCGAACAGAATAGACGCGTTGTACTGGATCAACCATACAATGAATCCAATTGGTGAAAGGATTTTGCAATCGTACCCACCGTTTATACCAGGTATATTTGTAGGGGATACAGGTACGGTTTTAAGCATGGTTCCTTTTATAAGTACCATTATAAGTGCCATTTGAATATGTCTACACCGCTTTGTTCGCGAATTTCAAACTAGTCATTGTCCTCTCGTTATTGTTTGAAAGAAGAGATGACAACCGCTGTGGTTAACAAAATACAGCCTATTCTCCTCGAAACAATTATGTCTTTGATTTTTATAATATATTAATCATTTAATTTTTTACAAACATCTATTTCTTATACAGTTTAAATAACAGTCTACAAATATTTTATCTTAATAATGATTTTATGATTTTGATTTATCTAATTCAAGAATAAATTCACAGATAATTATTTAAAAACTTATCCTTATTGATTTCGAAATATGATGATGATTTCATTTACAAGATAAACGTTATATGAATAATTTTTTTATCTATGGATATAAGATATATTAGTTCATTCATTAAATATTGTATGCCAGTCGATTATATGTATAAAAATAGTTTATATAATATAAAAAATATCGTTGATGCACACTAATACAAGTAAAATCTAATATACTAACAGTAATTAAAATATTTTATATACAGTAAAAAAATATTTTATACGTATTTCGAAACATTTAATGGTAATTATATATATGAGAAAAAGTTTTTCAAAATTTTGTTCTATAATATTTCAAAATCATTGAAATCGATGAGAGCAAATTATTTTTAAATAATTATCGTTTCATAAAAAAACATGTAATAACAAATCATACATACGAATCATGTAACATAACCTCCAAATAATATCCCAATCAAATCTCTATTTTTTGAATCTTCCCTAAAAATAAATCATATTTGAACGTAAACTGATTTAAAAAGTATTCTTATGAATTTATTTTTGAATCCATAGAATTATTTTTTATTACTTAAGCTTTTGTGCGTTTCAATCCTTCGTATCCTTTCCTTGTCAATCATTGGTTGTAATCATATAATGCTCACGGCGATACATTGTGTAATTTGAAATGATGTAGGGAGGATATAATTGTTTCACAGATAGGTCCACAGGTACATGGAGGCCAGGATATTAATGTAAGAAAATAGACTATTGGTTTTCCAATCGAACAATGGCCGTGTGTACCACATTGGATATCTCGTTACACCATAATCGAGGAATAATCGATCGCAAAGTTGTAGCACAAGGCAAATTGCTGGGCGTGGTAAGAACGATCCAGGAAACTCGAGAGGGCAAAAGACAAGGGCGCGTAGCAGAACGGGAAATCCGAGATTTTTCTTCCTTTCCTCTCGCGCGCGCTCTTTTATTTCTGCTGGTCATGTAAAAAGCTTTTTATTCAAACCCGCGTTCACCCTCGATCAAGCGGCGTGCGTGTGTTTCCACAGAAGCGAATCGGGGCGTAACAAAGATTCATTTCACCGACACGGGATCTTTGAACTGGGTTAATTAGGGGATCGAAAACTTTTGTTCGATCATTCGAAGAATCTTGTTACGATTTTATTTTAACGTAGAAAAATTGATGAATGAAAAATATGGTTTTTCTAAGAAATCGAATTAGTTCTATAGTAATCTAAATAAGAATATATGATAATAAATTATTGGTCAATAATTTTTGGTTATGTTAACGATACGTGAATGTTATCTATTTGAAATTAAAAAATATATTTTAATTATATAAATTTACTTATATATACATACATAATGTCAATTAAAATAAAATTTTTGACAATTTCTAATACATGCACACACAGTAGAAAAAATTCTTGACTTCTGTAGAAACGAATATCACGCATGACAATTAGGGAGAGAGGGAAAAAAGGGAAATACGAGTAACCAGTATCCTGGTCGATCATGGTATTCCGTCTCTCTCGTGTCTCTTTCCTTCTCGCAACAAGAGCGGTCCTCGATCATCCTCTACCTCTCGTCAATGCATCCGGGGACTTCCGCGATTTCTGAATAGAAATCTCTATGGTGGCTGACAATGCAATACGTGGACAATTGCATAGTCTAATGGATCTGCCTCACATCATCGTAACTTATACGTACGTGTCGTTCGTGTAAACGATATCGACAAACGTCCATTCCGCGTGTCTTCCAACCGTTCGCAAAAACGAGATCGACATTCTCTCTATGGTGGTCGTGTCTTTCCGCTGTCATCATACTCTACTACGTCTCTCCCCTTCTTCTTCCTTTGCGCCACGGTTTCGCGCGCCGAAAAACGAAAAAAGAATCATCCGCGTCGGGTTCGGTCGGTAAAAACGAACATGTCGTGTCTGAGTATTCCCCCCTATATGCGAAATGAAAATTATTCCGCGGTTTAGGCCGCGTCTGCTAATCAATCAATAACGATGCGTTCTCCACATGCGAATAAATTAATTAGGTCGGATCGCTTTCGATTCTCTAATTCAACGCTGGTCGCTATTCCTATCCGAAAATTTCGTTTGAAGTCAATAGAAACGCACTATAATCCCATTTGAAGTTATTTTCAATAGTAATGAGATTGGAAATCTAATATTTCGATTACCCATCTCAATTACGTTATGAAATATTTAATATATATAATATTTGACATGAAAGTGTATTAATAAACATACATATACAATTTTCAAAATTAATTGATCAATAAGATTCACTTGCAATATCATGTTAGACTTAGATAAATTAGAAAAGAACCAATGTATTGTATTTGTGCACTATTAATAATATCATTATGATCGAATGGTTAACCGATCTGTTCAAGGAAGATTTAATGGTCCCTACTAAGAAGTAAAAAAGGTATAGAAGAATCGAAATGAACCTGTTCACCGGTCTTTCTTCTGTATGTGTGGGCGGTACTCCGTTCCATTTTGTTCTCTTCCTATCCTTCTTTTACCCAACAAAAAACGCCGCAAGACCCTCGATGTTTTGCGTATTCTGTGTACTTTATCTCGTCTTCTTGTGGTTAACCTGACGAAGAAAGAGAAATAATAAAGTGAAAAAAGAATAAGACAGAAAAAGAAAGATCAAGAATCAAAGAAGAGCGAGATGGTAAAGGGAGGAAAGGAGAGAAACTTGGAATCTTTCGTGGTTGGACGCGAAGGAGGTACGCGAAGAGATGGTCCAGGCAGTTACGGCATTGTATACCTAACAGGAAAAAGAGACAAAGCGAACAAAACACTGTCGGGGCGTCGCTCCGCAAACACAGCGCCCTCACGAATGAGGAGTGAGATGAAGAACTAAAACTTGGAACAAAAGTCCTCACTTTTGTTCCCTCGAAAGTTTTTCGAATTATGGCCATAGCGGAGAGAAAGGCAGAGGGAAAAGGAGGACGGCATCGAGAGAGGTACCTCTGTGATTTATATCTCACCAAGGTTTCGGAATTATTAAACTTTCCAGGGCACCGGAAGAAAGGAGGTGAAGGAAACGATGGCTACGACGGAGAGGAGTTTCTGAGAGAGAGAGCTTGTACTGTAATTAAGCCGTTTTCTAATGAAGATTGATCGGTCAATTAGCATCGTAACCTCCCACCTTGTGTCTCTTCTATTATTTAGAGCAGATTATTAAATATTTACTTTCGTGTCTGTAGTTTTATATTTTCCATTAGGTTGATATTTTCAATGGATATGATTTGTTATCAGTTAATTCTGAAAAAGAAAATATAACATGATTATTTTCTTTTAAAAAGAGATGTAGTAATTATTGGATAAGTTAATTAATTGTTTGATAAAACGATTATTCAGTCGAAGTTACAAAACTATAGCAAAATTAAGTGTTTCATCATGAAGTCGATAGTATTCCCGGAGCCAATTCGTAAAATACTTCGATTATCCATTAACAAGCAATTAAACCGCTGGTAACGAGGTACAATTCAGACTCGAGTTGAGATATCCCTGGAAGAGATTAAAAGCTGCCACTTGTGAGTCTGGGCAAAACCACCCTTTTGCGTTTCTGTCGTTCGACCATCTCTCTTTTACTCCCTTTTCTATCTTCTTCTTGTCTCTGTTTTGCTCAACCCCTCAACCGTCGTGGCCACAATAGAGAGTGGGAAGCCTCTTTCTATGGATCATACAATGGATATAGTATATCAAACAAATTCGACCCCGGAAAATTATTGGCCACAGTAATCCCACGTTACCGACCATGGACGATAGTTCTCCCATCAACGACGGCACGTGACCCATACTAGAACAAAGGGTTCGAAACCACGGTGAAAACTCAACCATGAGAGCAAAGATGTAAGGTTAAGCTTATCCATTATTAATATTTTTCCGATTTTTCTTCACGACTATCATCACACTTATTTCTTTAAGAATTAATGTAAGTTCTTTCCTTTTATTGAAATAATTATATGAAATATAATTTCTATGAAGATATAAGATTAGATTTATTCATTATTAATATTCTTTCGATTTAGTTTTTAATATTCTTTTTATTATCTCACTTTCAATTATTATCTTACTATCAATACTTTGTTAAGAAATAATATAAATATTTTTCCTTAAACAATTATATGAAAAATGATTTTCATACATAGTTGAATCAATTATTTTTTTAGTTAATTCTAAATTAGAATTTAATTATAAAGAAATGAATCAATTAAGAATATTTTACGAAAGAAAATAGTAGATTTTAGTATTTGAATAAAAATGTGAAATGAAAAAAAAAACATCAAGAGAATACCGTCTATGTTGATTTAATATATTCCACGTGATCGGATCATAACCCATCGATTGAAGCGCATCCTGATTTATGGCAAAGTACATAACAAAGATTTCGATGGCAAATCCAGAGGCGACACGTCCTTCATTCTGACAGGATTGAAAGCCGTAAAAATCCTTGTCGGACGAAAGGGTAGCCCGATCTAGGTACGCATGCGTTTGACAGAGTAGATATATTTCGATCATGGATTTTCGATAGGCCGCAAGGATTAGGGACAACCCTCTGCTGCTCTCGCGCGTTTGTTCGAAACAATGCTCGACTTAACTGATTGCCTGATTACTGGTTCTGCGTGTTGTATTCTCTGTATTGTATCCAATGAATAAGAGAGTGGCAAATGTAGAGTGTAGTATACATCGGATTATCATAATAATCTCGGCTAATAAGTATTGTTTGGTTAATTGAAAAGTCATGGCTCTTCTATCTATTCTTTGTTCTGAATTAAATTTCTTAAACACACTAGTAATTTCTTAATTATAATACACAATTTTTATGCTTTTTTATTTATATGATTATGTAAATATAGTTTTATAGGTTAACATTTGTTAGATTGGCAATAATGATTAATTTTAGCACTATTTCAAATGTTCCTAGATAATTGCAAAGAAAAATAAATTACTAGAAAATTTGGAAATGTATATCTAATGCGCAAATAAAAAAATATAGATAAATATTTGCGACTTTAGATATTTTCTTTCAAATATTTGAATCCTTTTCAATATCAAATTAGAATCAAATAAAAACGATCGAAGAAAAAGAAGATAGTTAAAACAGCAAATCAAAGAAAGGAAAGGAAGAGAGAAAGAATAGACAAGAGAGAGAAAGACAGATGGAGACAGAGAAAAAATAGTGGGCGTAACTCGCGATAATTTGCATGGAAATTTTTATCGGTACGGCCGAAGAGGCAATATCCAGCAGACGCATTTAAGATCTGAGTCCGGATAATAGCCACAGAAATGGGATCGTAATGCCCGAAATGGGTGACACGAGTAGGTACCCAAGGTTGCCTATATAGTATATGCCTTACATTTTCCTACGTAGCTATCATGAGCTAATGCGCGAAAATGGTGGGGTAAGTGGGATGCACACAGAAGCTTCAGTGAAAACGAATCCACCCATATCGTGCTACGGCCACGCTGCACAAGAAAAAAATGACACGCTCCTCCCTTGGTTTGCGTCGTTAAATTATATATAGACTTTCTTTCGCCCTTGCTTGCTTGTTCTTTATCGTCATCTTATGTTAATATTACTTCTGTTCGAGGTCCATGGTTCTCATTGACTTTTTCTGATACTTTCTAGTAAGTGCTTTTACTATGCTTCTATGCTTGCTGAGTTTCATTAAATTTTATTAATAATTATTTCTTTTCTCTGTTTTATATTAAATTTGATAATGATTTTGAAAAATGTGTGAAATTTTAAATCAACGAGGTAAAATTATAAATGGTAATTAATTTATTTTTACTTTTTTTTTCATTATCAATTGAATTTCATGCAATATACATTCAGATTTTCAAATCTCTGAACATTCTCTATTTTTAGCTGATCGATACATTATTCCGATCTCCGAAAAGGGATCTATGAGAAGGATCAACTTTCAGTAAAGCATTATACGAAGGTACATGGCGGCAGGATCGGTTGCTTGATGGACTGGAAGCTCGCGGAACGTTTCGAAATACCGTCTTAACCGAGCCAAGAAAAGGGTGCAAGTACACACTCATGCACGGTCAATGAACACGTACACGTCGTATTACTATGACCGAATATCCAGCTTTCGTGGTTGCCTTCAGGGATCCTGCTGAGTTCTTGTTTTTTTTTCTTACAGGTATAAAAGAATAAGAGACTTTTGCGGATACGAGTAAGAAAGAAGATTAAGAAAAAAATCGAACCATATAAAAGTAAAAGAGTAGAAATCCGAAGAAAGAGAATATTAGAAAAGAAGAGAAATAGGAATGTACATGCACATACAGTTGTATATAAGTACTTGTCAATACACGTGTGCATACCCTATGGCGTACATCCCGCAATAGAGCTTGTCGTTTTCGATGAGACTATCGAAAACAATTGGTACAATGGATCCTCAAGCGTTCTTATTTATTATACTTACATGGCACTGTACACTATACATAACGCGAATGAATGGGAGAAGCCGCGGTTAGACGAGATGTGTAACGCGCGTGTGCATTTTGCTCGAGGGCCCCACGAATAAGCGTGCGTGAAAGAACGCACGCGATTTTTGAACTGTGGAGCACCGTCAACGGTAAGGGAACGATAGAGAGGGTATCCACGAAGAAAAGGTTAAAGAGAATTGTTTTGTTGTGAACGCTTGTCAATTGACAGCGTTTTGTGATGTTAATAGCCGCCTTTTAATGACATATCTTTTAATGTTCTTCATATAACACCCAGTGAGAATTTGATAATCATAATTTAAATGTCATTATATAATATATATATTATATGATTAATTATTATATATATTATTATCATATAATATATAAATTTAAGTAATTTTAAAATAATTTTAAATTGATATTTAAATAATTGGAATATAGTAAATTATAGTAAATTGAATCTTTTTTTTATATTATTCTTTATATTTATATTTAATACGTTTACTTATATATAGTAAATCGAAGTAAAAGGTTTGGTATAAATAGATCATGCTTTTGTTTTCGTCGTACCTGTCAATACGAACATTTTTTTATTATGAATATTGACAAATATTTGAAATTTAATTTTTTTTAGGTCAAGCGCATCAATATATCCATTTAAGCAAATTTTATTTTATTCTGTGACTATAAGAAGAAAAAATATTGCTGTCAAGTATATACGTATGACGTTTAGCATTGGAATAAAAACCTCGTGACAAACATATTATCTGCTGACAAACATATTAAGTTACGATTTTATTATTTTTTTTATTTATTATTTTTTTTATTATTAATTTATTGAAGAAATTATTAAATTATATTTATATTTAATGGATAAGGTATAAAGAAGTTAATCCTAAGTTACATAGGTATATCTCTGTGAAAACTGTTTGTATATACAGGGATGCGTACATTCTAATGCCTCTTATGCGGGTCTCATTGTGCAACGATCTCTTGTTGCTTGTAGAATCACTACGAACAAAGATCCTCTACAGGATATCTATATTATCATCCTTTTACTATGTTGGACAATGACGAATAAGTAGATAATAAGAAAAAATTCAACATATAAAACTCAATGCAAGTATTGAGTACTCAAATTGAGTACGAGGATGTAATTGTAAATATTCAGATTACTATGAAGTTTGATGTATTATCGACATAATTATCAATGTGATTATAATCAATCATATTACAATCAACAATGTTAGAAAGCAAGCCTGGAATATAAATAAATAAACGAAATATGTCATTTGCAATCTTTTTTTGATTTGAATTTTATTTTATAGTTATGAAAGAAAATTCCAAGGATGTATTTGATATTTTTTTATTATTATTTTTTTCCATTTAGATTTAACTTTAAAAAATTTGAAAAAATTGAAGTATTTAGATCGCGATAAAAAATTATTTTTTTTAAGTTATGAAATTTTATTAATGTTTTTTCTTAAAATATCTATTATTTATTTCAATGATATATTTTTTTACATCTTAAGAGCTATAATATATTATGTTTATGTTATTCGATATTTTATATTATTGTGTGTTACCGTTAAATCTTTAAAAAAAGAATTTTTATTCAAGAATGTTTTCTTCGAAAATAAGCAGTGAAATATAAATATATATGGAAATTGGTTTGCTCTCTACTATGCTATTTAATCAAAAAATTTGTCAATCAATGAACGAATAAACTTTTGAAAACAAGCAACAATGGTAACAGCCAATCCGGGTCCTCGAGGACCACGTCATGGACCATCGAAAATTCGGTGTCCACTCGTGCAAAAGCACTCCAGTCGATGTTTCACAGCGGCAATAAAACGTCATTTTTCACGGTGCCGTTTCGGAAAAAGAATCGGACGAAAATATGGAAAACCTTCGCTGCTATTGGATTACCGTTCCGAAATGAACGGTACAAAATCATTTCTGCGTTGCGCGCCGGTGCTCCACGAGTGGTTGCACGATCACGCGCTAGCCTGTTGTAATGGATGAGTCCCTATGCTGGGATGTATATTGCCAAAGTACTTATGGCAGCACGTTTATGGCATAGAGGCTGTACAAGCCTGGCAGTGGCCGACATGAAATCCAGTCGAGCACCCTCCATCCACGTCACGTCCGCGACTGATTAACATTAACTTCATGGAAAAAATTGTACCAAATGCCGGGGAACGTCACAGTTTTCAATTTGGCCGCGATAACCGTCCATCGTATCTTTTTCCCCGTAGGTAATATAGAGCGTGCTGTTTAACCGATGTTCCTCGGTATTACGAATATTTCGCTGAATTATAAAAGTGACATAATATTTTCTTTTTTTTACTGTTATGTAACATTTCTTTTATAATTTATAACAAAAAATATATTTAATGTTTCACAAATCAAAAGTATAATCAAAACTATTTTGTGTCTCTGAAAAGATTAAAAATTTATGAAAAGATCTATGAAATTTGTGAATATAAGGTTAGATTTATTTAGATAAATTCGTTTCTAAATCACGTAAGTTTTCAATAATACTTATTGTATAGAACATAAATTTGTTATTTAATTTTTTATTTTTAAAACTAATAATGTATCCAAAAGTTAAATGATAATATTATTGAAACAAATATATATTAAGATATATAATATAATACATATACAATATTATT